CAATCAAATCCAATTTACTCTAATAAGCATTATAAGTAAAACCGGAGCAAAAATGAAGTAAAAAGCTTTAAAATTAAATATTCAATCTCCCATTGCATAGACGATGAAAAACGGAGTCAAAAGCTCGAAACTTGAATGAAACCAAAGTCGCCGGAAAATCTCCCGGAAAATAGCATAAGCTCCTAATCTAGAGAGCAAAATAAAATAAAAGTTGATTTCCCAAAGTGGAAAAATGAAAAATGAGAGTTGGATCCTCAAAATGCAAAGGAACAAAAATATTTATACTCCAGCCAAAACACACACTATAAAAATACAAAATCAAAAAGACACTCTCGAGCTCTCCGCAAGATTTGCGAGCTCGCCGGAGGTGATGTGCATGGATGCAGCACTCTCGAGCTCGCCGAGGGAGTATCGGGCACGCGAGCGTGCGGGCATGGGCGGTGGGACACTCTCGAGCGCGCGAACGTTGTGGCGGGCACGCGGGCGTAAGTGTTGGCACACTCTCGAGCGCGCGGACGTCGTGGCGGGCATGCGGAAGTACTCTCGGGCTCGCGCTGGGCTCCGCGGGCACGCGAGTGATGGAAGGCGGGCGTGCGCGACGTGCGTGCGTGCGGGCCGTGGCACTCTCGAGGTCGAGCTGCTGTCCGCGAGCGCGAGCACGTGTATGTGCGAGGCGCGGCTTCGTGCTGCGAGGTCGAGAGCTCTGGGCAACGCGTGTCCGGATTCGACTAAGGATCGATATGCTTGACCGAAAATTGTTCGTATGAATGACTCGAAAATGCTCGTCTCTTGGGATTAGGTATGACTCGTTTTTAATCTTCGGGAAAAACCTGAAAATATACCGAGAACACGGAAAAGTACGCCAAAAATATAAAATAAACGAAAAACACAAAAATACACGGAGAACGACAAAATGGACCGGACGACACTAAAACGAACCTAAAATCGACTTGAACACACAAATAAACACATAAAAATAAGCACAAACACATAACAAACAGTCTGTAGCCATGTTTTACTTGATAATGAATTCTCAAACTTGAGTTTGATGAATCAATCCCTGATGTTTTCTTTATAGTTTCAAGTAAGTCTTCCAAATTTTCATTTTCTTTATGAAAGATACCACAAACTTCATATCCTTCATATTCAACTTCACTCATCCAATTTCCATTGTAATGCACAAAAATTAGTTCGCCATTCATCGTTCTTGAAAATCACAAAAAAAAAAATAACATAAATCATACCTTAAGGATATATAAAAAATTTGTTGAAAAAAAAAGGATATATAAAAAATAAATTAATCATAATATATACTTCTATAGTTTTTTTTTTTTTTTGGTGCGAAGAAGGAGACTCCAGGGAGCCTAGATGGGAACCGAACGCCGATGCGCGATTCCTCAAGTTCCCTACCATCACTACCATCAACAGGGCAGTTTTTTTATTAATCTTATCAATTTTTCTTAATAGATGGTTGGCTTTCTAGTTGATCATGGTGTAACCAAGTACCCACTCCAGTCGGGAGATGTGCCAACCGTTGCAAACCCAAGGGCCCGTTAGCCGCCTCAGCCGCTAAAAAATCCGCCACAGCATTGGCCTCGCGATAGACGTGTCTCAGTTCGACTTCCCAAGCACAACCCAACAAATCGATAATGCCCCTTATAAGACCACCATACGGACCACTACATGTGGCCTGCCGAACCAAGGCTAAAATACCGATGTTATCCACCTCCGCGATTATCTTCCGGAACCCTAAATCCCATGCCAATGCAAGCCCGTGGTACAATCCCCACAACTTCCCCCCAAAAATAGGGCAAAGACCAATGTTCAACATGAAACTAGAGATCCACGAACCCCGGTGATCACGGAAGGACACCTCCTGCACTGGCCAAACCCGTCGCCGGATTATAGCCCCCGTCTGTGTTAACCTTAATAATATGTTTGGCCGGTGATTCCCACGAAATCAGATGCACAGTCCGCCCCTTAGCAGCTCCGGCTCTCAACCGCCGGCTCTCCCGCTGTACCTGGTTGTGCTGGGCGACCAATGACAAAACTTCAGCCACACGCCGGCCACGATGGAAAGTCACATTCTGAAACACATGGAGGTTGCACCACCTCCACAATCGCCAAGCAACCACGCCAAACACCACAATCCAGTCATCTCTCGCTCGACTCAGCCCACCATGAAGGTTCGCTAGAAACCAGTCCGACAGCCCCAAGGAGAAAAATTCTGGCCAAAACGCCCGAGGGAGAAGCTCCTGCCACGTTGTTGCCGCCGGAGGACAGTCCCTAATCGCATGGATGACAGATTCCGGCTCCACCAAACACACCGGACACGTTGCAGCAGACGCTAACCGCTGGCGACATCGAGAAACGTTTGTCAATAGAGCCTCACGCACGGCCAACCATAAGAAACACCGGACCCTTTGTGGGCCCGACCATTGCCAAACAAGCCGCCACTCATATCCACGTCGACCGGTAGCCTGTTGTCTCAGACCCGCAGACGCCAACCTAACTAAAAAACGGCCATCCGACGACCAGCCCCAAAACATCCCATCATCATCCCCGTTCGGTCGTGGCGCGGGCACCGCTGAAATATGCAATAAGATAGAAGCCGGCAGAAATGGTGCAAATAAACTCCAGTTCCAGGCCCCATCAGGCCGAACAAAAAAAGCCACATTCACCTCAAGCAGCGACTCCGATACATGTCCGACCGCAAAGTGAATTAGCGGGTGATCCAGTGGAATCCAACGGTCCTTCCAGAAACGAAGCGTACGACCATTACCCACTGTCCAACGGCATCCCTGTAAAGTATCTGGCCACACATCCCGCAAGGCTTGAATCACCGTCGATCCCTGGGGGAAAACAAAATCATCACCCATCAAGGGCGGGCTTAAACGATACTTAGCTCGCAAAACGCGACACCATAATAAATGGGGCTCCGTTAAGAAACGCCACGCCAGCTTCATCAAAAAAGCCCGATTCATAACCCGCTGGGATTTCAGCCCAAGACCCCCCTCCACCTTAGGCAAACAGACCTCCGGCCAAGATACAAGACTCAGCTTACGAGAAGCAGTCGTACCCCTCCCCCCCAGACGAAAGTTCTGCATCTCTTTTCTAACTCATAACACACCCCAACCGGCAAAGAGGCGGTTTGTATAGCAAAACAAGGGAGAGCGCTTATCACCAACTGGGCTAATGTCACCCTCCCAGCCAAAGAGAGGGACGATGCTTTCCATCCCGATAGTCGCCGATCAGCCTGCTCCAGAAGATTTGCAAAGGTAGCCTTCGTCACCCGGTTTTGTATTAAGGGCATCCCCAAATAAGTGCCCAAATCAGTGACCACCTGAAAACCCAAACTCTGAGCTAGAGATTCTTGTCTCTCCACCGGCACATTAGGAGAGAAGAAAATTCGCGTCTTCTGCTCACTCACTCTCAAGCCCGAGGCGGCCTCAAACCGTTGCAATATTGAACGAAGGACATCAACCTGGACTTGACTAGCCTCCAAGCATAGCAGTAGATCATCCGAAAACATTAGGTAGGGCACTGAAACCCGCCCACGACCCATACTAAATGGTTTCCACTCCCCACAAGCCACACTAGCATCGATCAAATGAGCCAAGCGCTCGATACAAAGCACAAAAAGGTATGGGGAAATTGGGTCCCCCTGACGGACTCCACGCGAAGGAA